GGCAGTGGCTGCTGTCCCTCCGGCACTGGGGTGTCCTGGCCACCCTGCAGGACGCTGCGCCTCCCCCCGCTTGGTTCTGGAGGGGGAACCAGGTAGTGTGAGCCTGATCTTTACAGGAAGAATCTGGTAACCCTTACCTGGCCTCATCAGAGCACAATTCAGACTCTTTCAAAGAGTTGCCGGGTTCCTTGCTCAGCGATCACCCAGAGATTTATTCTTTTGATATGGAAAAGTGCGGCAATTCATAGGTTATTTTTCCTACTCTAATAGCAAGGGGAAAGCTGAATTGTGTGCAAGCCCTTGCTGTGCTGCTGCACCCCACGGTGCCCAGTGCAGACTGGGGATGTCCCCGGGAACAGGGAGCAGTGAGAGGTGGGGGTGTCCCCAGGGAGGCGAGGGGTTGCCAGCCCCGCTCTGCGGGCAATGCTGCTCCTGTAAACGGCATTGGAGCGAACGCAGGCGGGATGCAAGCACGAGGGATGCGCTCAGGCATCCGCGCTGACACAGACTCACCAGGACAAGAGGGAGGTGAGGTGATCCGGCGTGGTGGGGTCCGGGCTGATGGGGGGAGACGTGACGAAGGCTGCAGCTTTGGCCCAGTTTTTACTCCAGTAGTGCGACCCGTCGGTGCCCAGGCTGGCGGTAATGGGCTCTCCGTACACAACCGTGCCTACGGAGCAATCAGTTAATGAGTGCAAACGTGCCGCGTGTCCTGCAGCCGCTTTTCACACACTGCAGACAAATACTGCGGTTAACCATACAAGACAGTTTCGCTTATCCTCAGTGTTCCCACTCTTTCAGCTTTTTAAATCCACATTAATCCTTTAGATTATCTCAGACGATCGGGAAACGCTGTCAAAACAGGTTTTGAATCTGTCTGTTTTCTCCTTAGACCAAACATACATTCGTAGCTACAGAGCACCATGCCTCCTTTCAATCAGACCAGCATCTCTCTGGCAGAGTCTCCTGGCTGGGGGCAGAGGTGGCTCTGGACCCCGGGGGTCCCTGGGCATGGCCTTCCGCCCCGCTCCCCAGGACTGCTTCCAGCTCTTCCCACTCTACCCCCAGTTTGAATTTGGAGCTTGCTCCAGATCCATTTTTCATTTAGTCCATGACAAATGATGGCAAGCGAATTCTTTCCTTTCTTTCAGCTGTGCCTACTGAGATTCAGGTGTCCAAGTTTCAAGCACATCACCTCAAATCTTTGCAGCTCAGAGCAATTAGCTCTGGCACACCCTGCGAAGAAAAGCCAACACCAAGTTTTAGCACCCTTAAAATGTGAGAGAACTTGGGTGCTAACGAGCTCCTTAACCTTTCAGCTAGAATGATATTCCTGGACATATTTGAACAGGCTCAATTAGAGTGTGAACGTGAAACAACGCTTTACCTTTTCTCTTTGCTTGAGCTAACACATCCGCTGCACCTCTGCTCATGACTTTGGTGACGTACAAGGGGCAGTTGGCTTGTTTCGCGATGGTAATTGCACGGTACACCGCCTCCGCTTCCACCTGCGGACACCAGAACAGGCAGAAAATGTCTCAGGGCAGCTCTGCCACAGCCGCAGCGGCTGTTCCAAACCCCGGGGTAGTTCTGCTGAAGGACTGGAGATGTTACCTCCTCGGGGCGGCTGAGGACGTGCCCTTCTGGCCCTGTAATCCCGAGTTCCAGCAGCCTCTTTTGCTCCTAGGTGGACAAAGACAAATGAAAGAGCAGTCAGTGACATGAACAGCCTGTCCAAGGCAACGTGGGACACGAAATGCCTTTTCAGAAGCACCTGAAGGACGATGGAAATTCATGAGTACAACTAAGCGACACCATTTATACCTGTGACACTCCATAAACCGCTGCAGCTGCTTCCTAGCAGACCCACCTCATGCTGTGGAAGCATTTCTGGACTGGGACCTGCTGTGTCCCAAGGGTACCTTTGGACCTTCCCCACAGGATTTTGAAGCCATTGCTGCTTACTCTAAGGCTGTGCCAGATGCGGTGCATGGCTACAGGAAAGGACCAGATGTTTCCCCCAGACCTGAGGCTGCCTGAGCCCCGGGGAAGCAGAGACGGGTGCCAGGGACGTGAGGCTGTCAGCGGGGCGCAGCAGGAGCCACCTCTCCAGAGCTTCGCTCCGTGAGTCACGCAGCCATGGCCACGTGTGTTCCC